TTATTTTCAACATAAACTAACAAACCTGCGCACACGTGAACGTGCTTTAGAGCTTGGCACAGAGAGTAAAAAACAAAGCCTCTGCTGCTTTAAGGACAACGTATTTTTTTGTATTAGCTTAAAAGAACATGAAGGCTGTCAAAAGAGCTGGTATAGTTTTTTACAGTGCCGCAGAATTCATCTTGACCACAAGCAAATATCTGAAAACTGCATCAGAAAGATAGCATAGATCTTGTTTCCGAAAAGAAAGCAAGCAATTGAGTCATTGAGTCAAATAGCAATACAATACATTTTCTGGCATCGCTACTGAATATTTATATCAGTGATGAATGAGACTACAAACGAAATATTTTAACATGAAGCTTTGCCTTGTTAACTGCATGATATGCCAAAACACCACCTACTGTAAATCACAGGGTTTAAGACCAGTATTTCTTGTTTAAACATGCTCCTTGTTCAGCAGAATCACTTGTGTGAACAAGCATACATTAATGTACACTAACTAGAGCAGTTTCACTATCCAACTGATAGAGTATAATTTAACAACCTCATTATCAGCATTGTAATTTTCAGACTGCTGAAATATCATATTTGTTGCAATTATTATACGGTTTAAATACTTTAACAACATTGCCCATTTGACGCTTCTGTCAGATAAAATGCAGATAGGCACTTGTGCATTGATGAACACGCTTTTAATCCTATAAAAAAAAACTTTCTCTGTCAAATTATAGGTGTTTCAACACTTGATTTATGAACGCCATAATTAAAATCCTTATGCCTTAAAGAAAAACAAACTTCATTATAACAACAGCTTTCTTTCACATTTTTATCTTTTAATATTCGGAGTTTGCTTTTATACGCTGCTATTAGCTATCAGTTTGGCATGTCATTCGTGACTGCCAAGACAGGAGACTTTTTCTCTTTATAACCTGGTCAAACCTCAAAGTCTGGGTAAGCACCCAAAAGGATCAATGTTTATTTACAGCTTCCACAAAGCATTTGCAGGGGAAAAAAAAAATCTCCTAATTTAACAGGTAGAGGACAACCATCACATGATTCAGTGCTTTCTGCTTCTAGGAAAGCCAGAAATACTGTAATGTCTGCCAAAATATTTCTCCTCCTTCTATGAACTGTCAGAACCAAGAATTTGGAGAGATACTATTTAAAAAAAAAAAAAAAAAGAAAAAAAAAGAGCTAGATTTTTCATATGCATTTCTGTAGTGGTTCTGGTTCAATTTGAATTTTAGACAGATCTCTGGAGGGGGAAGAGATTCCTATATTATCTGAACAAATTCATGCATATCATTCATTCATTCTTACAGCACCCATCAGCACAGCAGCAGCAGGTTTCAGTTTCCTAAACTGAATGCAAGTCAAAATTACACACAATCTCCACTAAAACTACCGTTACTGAAAGTGATGCAGTTACACATTAGCATCCCTTCTCTAAAGAAATCTCTGGCCCCAAATCCCAGAAAAGAACAATTCATTTACAAGCTAAGCAAGTAATCTTGAATCAAATCCTGAAGCTTGTCAAAACTAGGATTTCCTAAACTATCAATAAGAAACTAATTTCAAAAGAGGGAACTCCCAATTCAAGTCATTGCTGCTGAAGTCCTGGTCCCTTTTACCTAGCTTTCCATCAAATTTGTTTTGAAATGTTACAAACACCTTGAAAAAGAAATCAAAAGGAATAATGGCTGAAGAAGGTCTCCTTGATGGGACCAAAGCATCACACTCTATACAGTTATCTGACTTTTGGCTACTAATTACAAAGCCAAAGTTCCTGAACTCAGTATTACATGAAGCTGAAAAAGTTTACTGTGTAAAAGATTAAGAGAAAATATTATACTTGCAGATAATGAGGACAACTGAACGGAATCACATTACTATTGCACAGTGGAGAGGTTGAAAATTTACTCCTCAAATATCATCTCTGAAAACATAACAGATAAATTTTGTTATCCTTCTAACAAGCTGTTGTAATGCTAGACTGGGATAAAACAGATCATGCTGCCCTCTTGTGCCAGACGTGCATGGAAATCAACCCCTTTATTCCTGCAAGTGACACGTGAAGAGGAACATATAAAGCATTCACTATGAAGTAGAAAACGTCCACGTTTTCCTCGTTACAGTTACCTTGGCACACATGCAATACCCTTACTGGGATATGGATAGAAGAGCAACGGAAGTTTCAAGAGAGTCACATTCTACACTCCAAAAAATAAACAAGATCTGTCAACAAACATGGACAAGTTGGATGTGATAAAGCCCAAAATACAACCACTTAATCTCTAACTTCCCATCAAGCTTTCGCTATAGCTGTTTAAGTGATGCTGTATAGATATCTGCTGATAAATTTGAATTTCAGTCATAAATATCTGATCATTCTTTCTGAATGCTGGTTAACACAACAAGCTTTAGTCACTTAGAATTATCAGCTCAATACGGTTAGGTTAAGTGCTTAAGAAAGAGATAGTCGTTTATTAATAAGGTCCTTCCAGTGCAAACCACACTCAAACCAGCAATGTCTAACTATTTTTAGATCTATGCCAAATTACACAAAGGTGAAATCTGGGTACATACAAATATTTTTGGGTGGGAAGGGAGAGAGGAGAGGGGTCCTCATATTCCTCTTCTGTCTCTGCTATGTAACCCAGGTCTCAAAAATACATTCAAATTCGTATATCACCTGGGTAAGATGCTCGTTACTATTCCTTTACAACCTGCCCCTCCCTATATATTGCTAATGCAATCTGTAATGAGAGATCTTGGGCTCATGCCTAAACTGATTCACAAAGCGTAATTTTTTTAGAAATAAGCCATCTCATTTATTCACTACGACTGATTGGATCTACACTGTTGGGAGCTGACAGACATGTCATGATTCACCACGTATTTCCATTTCCTAATGTCAACTCCCTGATGCTGCTCATTAGTCTGTTTCCCCAGTAAGAACTATTGAGAGCTTGGGATGTCTATTTATTTAAGTTTCCTTCCTCGACTTTGGAACACAGATCATGGTGTGTTCAAAATACTGGCTGTGGCATTTTTTAATTGCTAATTATTTTTTGATAAATAGAACAGCAAAAGCCAGTTCAGCAATTGCTTCTGCTAAGGTCTTAAGAGACCTCACACAAATACTGAGAACACACTGGATGCTTAAATGACAGATCTGACACTGCAATATCAGCTTTGCTAATATGGGATATGATAACTAATCGTTTGGCTTGGCTCTTACAATCACAACACCAGAAAAAGGAGCCTTTAATAATTTCAATTTCTTCTTCGTATGTCTTTCATAGTAAGGCATATTAAAAAAAGAAAGAAAAAAAAATAAAAAAGGCTTCTACGTAAACAAATCTCACCCCAATGCAAAAAAAAAAAGTATCTGAAGTTCTAAAGGATAAATATACAGTAAAAACCCACGTAAATCAGACAATGAAGCACAGATATTAAAAACAGAATTTCAGAACTGCTACATGCTGCAGTTCTGAACAAGAGCATTGTCTCACGTGTCATCTTTTCCCTTTTCTTTTTTCAAAAGATGTATAGATCAGAACAGCAGTATCTTTGCATGGTACCATGACCAAAGGAAAGATGAAGGGAAAGAAATATATGCACACTGAAGTTAATCTTCTCTTATAAAATATCTGCTGATAAATAGAAACACACATCTCTAAGTCACGACAGTGTGTCAATACCAGCGATAGGCAGGTTTTATGAATGCCACTTTTACAAAGCACTGCTAATTTGAGCTTTGCAGTATGTTACAAAGCAAACTGTCATTTATTACTTTACACTGCCCCTGATGTTTACTCTGCAGTTTAGTTTGTTATGATGAGCCAGGTTTATGGGTATTCTTACAATATGATTATGTATTCCCTCAAAAATACAGTTACTGCATATGCTGTGCACACACACACACAAAAAAAAGGAGAGAGAATAGGAAAATCCCTGCCTATCTGACAACAAACCCCATCAGTACTACGATTTCTTCTGATGTATGTGCTCTCACTAGCTCTCCACTAACCTGTCTCCTGAGCTTATGGCTTCGCTTCTAATCCTTTGCAGTGGCCTTGAATTTACGCTACCACAGACTCACAGTACAAGCAGACCATAAAACACAGTCTTAAACTTCTGCAGTTGTAGATTTTTTTTTTAAAGGAGAAATTGTGCATGTTTCATTCCTCATGTTACGGACATGAACCTTTTTTCCACACGAGTATTTTTTTCCTGAAGATATTACTAATTTCTCTGAACCAATAAAACCATCCGTATATACCCTTACAATCATCAGACGGCTTCTGGAACTATGAAAACAAGCCTATGTTCCTTTTCTTCAAGGGAGTGAAGACCATTGGATTTCTATTTCTCACTTAAGACTGGCTAGTAAATCAGTACCACCCCACTTCTCCACTCCCTTCACTCTGCTCCAACTTCTCTCTCGTTTCTTTTGAAGAACATAAGGATCTGGACTACAGTTTTAAATTGCATGCTTTGCGCTTTTGTGCATTCTGGAAGGATAGTAAGCTACACAGTTTCTCAAAACTGAATTATCACACATGCTTAAAATTATTTTTTAAAAGGGCAAATAATTATTTGGGTTAAGCTTTCAGAGAAATGCACAAGAAAGGCATCCCCACAAAATGCACGCATATACATTCAGCATATGGAAGACAACCCTATGTAATTGCATCAGAACATCAATGCAACTAGCAGCTCAATGTACAACACCAAAGCCACAGGTAATTCATTTTTCTGTAGATTGCATTTAAAGAGAGTAAGATCAACCATCAATAAGGAGTCAACATTCTGACTTTTAAATTTAAAAAGACCACGCTGTTAAATTTAAAGATTTTAAGTAAAAGAAACAAAAAAAACCCACCACAAATATGCAAAAATACTATAAAATCATAATTTCCCAGAAACAGCATAGTTAACATAATCAATGAGGTATATTAAATGTTAAGGGTTTTTTTTACTATTAAACTTACCTATAGGATTTCTGTCAAAAAACAAGACAGGAGCTTTCAAAATGGATTGAAACATTTTGTTGTGCAAAGTCTGACCAGAATTAACAAGAACTTGAAACACCAGAAGACTTCTTATTATGCCAAACAGTATTGTAGCCACCGTTAAACCTGAAATTAAAAAAACATGGACAGAGCGTGCATACAGATATGGATCTTTCACAAAGAAAAGAATTTAAAAATAAAACTGAACTGAAACCAAATTTTGTTGACTTCTGTATATAGCAAGAATCCAAACTTAAGCCTAGGGACTCAGATTGAGCATAGAACAGATACCTTGTATTTGTCACTAGCTTCAGTTACTACCATATCATTGATTTAAACAATTCATCTTTTTCGGTTTGAAAGAATTGGCACTTTATAGAAATGTAGGAAACGACTGTTAACCCATGAAATAAATCTGTATTAAAACCTTCTGCATAACACCTCTGCTAAGAAATTCATTTCACAGCGCCGTATATAATTGTGGCTTGCAGAGGTCACTGTGAAGACTCAACATTTGCCAGCAGGTATTAACCAAGTAATATATACATGGCTATTTAGAGACAACCTTAAGTTATTCTCAATCAGCCCAAACCACTCATGCCATTCTTCTCCTTGTAAACCACATCAAATCATTTAAATTATGTGTATTTCTTTAACACAGTATAAGATGCATCCCTTATGCCATGTGAAATAGAGACCTTTCAGGGAATTGGTCTGCAGACTGTTTGTCTTTCTCCTGGGCACATCTCCACTTACAAGACAGGGGTGCTACAGGGCAAAAGATGGAAACAAAGAATGATGAGATTGCTGCTGCTCTGTTTGCTGTGTGTAATCTCCAATGTGGCTGCCCAAATTCCCAGTTGATGAAGGTGAACAGCGAAGGTGTTAACCTTATATTTGGCAGTGCTTCCAGGCTCCAGGTGATCTAAGCATAGACACCAGAAGCCCAGATGCTCAGGCCTTGAGGACACCCTTAAGTCAGACCCTAACTATCAACATAAAACATTGCCTATTCTAAGCACAGGTTAAAACTGGACACAATTCAGGTACGCCTATAGTAACAGTGGGAAAGAG